ACTTTCTCGGTTTCCAAAGAACTTTCAATCTTGTCGAATAGCCTCACTCTTGAAGATCTACAAGGATGATCAGCCTATATCCTTTAGTCGTGTTTTATTCCTTATAGCGTAAAGAAAAGGAAATATAGAATTTGAATTTTTGACCGATCGTAAAAAAATCTATACGATATATGCATAATATTTTTCATATAATTTATTAATTCTCTCTCTCTCTCTCTCTCTCTCTCTCTCTTTCTCTCCCCCCATTCTCTCTCCCTCGTCTTTTCGTTATAACAATAAAACTATAAAACATATTTTAATATCGGCAACTTTCACGATGCTCATCAAGTTTTTATCGTTTATCGTAAATATCGGAAAAATCGTTTGACTTTTAATAGGATCTTCCCGAGGAATTAAAATGCAATAGATTAGTAGTAGAGGTTGACGACACAGAGAAAATAGAAGACACGGTATCTATAATGATCAATTTATATGAAGGCTGTTAGAACCATACGCGTCCAACAAACTGTCCTGTATCACTCGAGCTGTATTCCGTCGATCACCGCGTTGTCTCCCATGGATAACGAGCATCGCTAGGGAATTTTCATGCAAATTATGATACGACGTAATGACTGGGAGGAGCGTGTTCGCATCGTCAAATCAATGGGCATTAATTGAAATAGAAGCAAACCTAAACCGGTAACATCCTTCACCCGAAGGAGCATACCGACGACTTCTGCATTATTAATGCAACGTATTAAGGATTATGATATTTAAAGGAGAAAATTATTCAGACAGGAATTATGAAAGACAATGATAAAAATGAGAATTAAATGAATTCAAACGAGCACAATTTGATCTTAGAATGAAAATAATCGTGAATATTTAATCGTTGAATTTTTGAATATAAAAAACAGGTATATACGTATGCATTAGGTCAGTCGTGCGCATTAGTATAGCATGTATGTATGTAGCAAAATGCGCACGAACTTTTGGACTGACCGATATATACATATATATATATGTACGATCTATAAGAACGACAATAATCATCTTCATGGAAAAACAAAATCGTAAATACGAAAAGTCTTTTCCTTTTGTAAAAATTGATCAACTTAATATTTTCTCTGCTTCATACGTAAGTTTCTTCTTCAATTTCTTTCATATTTTCTTTATTTTCTCGCTCTCTCTCTCTCTCTCTCTCTCTCTCTCTCTCTCTCTCTCTTTCAATAATTTCCGCGAAAATCTAGATAAGTTGTTATAGCGTCTACGACCTTACAGCTTTATCATTATGCTTTCTAAAACAGACAGACACGTTGGCAATATTACCGAGCGTATTTACGTAGACATTTTATGCGAGACATTTTTTATTAATGCTATAACGAATTTTAAAATAATCATACTGATTACAACTAGCATGATTATCTATCTTAACTATGATGGAAGAAAATGTTAAATTATCTTAGATATTCCATCGGCATGGAATACGTAAGATCTCTCGAAGAATGGAAGAAAGAGAGAGAGAGAGAGGCAGGAAGGAAGGGAGAAAAAAAAAAGAAGAGGGTCAAAAGAAAGAAACGAAATCCACTATGACCCAAAAACGATCAAGATTTACGGTAGGAAGTAGCTGTGGATTAAGTAGAAAATTGCCGATGATTCACACGATCGTAAAGATTTTCAGGGGGAAAAGTTTAGATTAGTTTTCTCCGTGACTTGAATTATGATCCGGTTAATAATTTAGATCATAATTCTCGATCGATTTTGTACTTACTTAATTTTTTAAGCAATAGAAACAAAAAGTGAGAGGGGGGGGAGGAGAGAGAGAGAGAGAGGGAGAAAGAGAGAGATGGAGAAAGAAAGTTGTAGATATCGTAACTTCATTTCGATAAAATTAATAATCGGAGTTCGGAAACGTTCAGAAATGTTCATCTCAATGTTTTAACAATCAAGACTTCCAAAAATCGTTGGAATTTAATAGAATCGCACGAGATGGAAGCTCATAGTTATAGGTCAGAGTAATGAAAAGCGCTTCGAGGCGCGCGGATCGATTCGATCTGGAAACGGGCCGGATGAAACGAGTTTCATTAAGGGGGATTAATGAACTCGACTCGCTGCAAGAGTTTAATTACGAAGGACCACAGAAAAAAAGATTTGGCGCCCTGATACCAAGTCCAGTCTGTGAAATTGGAAAAGCATTTTTTTCCTCTTACCTTTGATAAGAGAACGCAACGCACGTGATGAATAAATATGAAGTAACGTCGAACATATTGCGTTTATACATATAAGAGATAAAAATGTCTCATGTACATCTACATTCACATCAATTATATTATTCGCCGAAAGAGAGAGATTATCGATTTTCTTTATATAATACATATAGGTATATGTATGCGTAGGTATATATATATATATATATATATATATATATATATATACACATAAATTATCGATGTATATGCGTATATAAATCAAATCGATATTTATCACAGACCGACAGTGGATATTAAATAATTTAATAGATAAAATATAACTTTATTCTCGATCATAGATGCCTATACTTCGATATCAACTATCTTGATCCACATGAAAATTATCTTTCAGATAGCAGACGAGATTTACGGCGTAACTTTGCCCTATACTGAGTGAGATTGAAGGCAACCAACTCTATTCTCCTTCTCTCTCTCTCTTTCCCTCTCTCTCTCTCTTTCTTTCTCCGTTGCTACAAAGCAAATTCAACATACACCCAAATGTTTTTCAAAGCCATCGCATCGGGGTGGCCAATCTGAAACTAGTTTTTTCCCTGGGATTAAAGGACTCTTTTGAAACGCGTGGGATCCCGGCCAGTAACCTTTCTTTCTGTAAGAAGCGAAAGTACCATCATTTGACAAGCTAAAAATCCCAAATCTAAAGAAGATTACATTACTGAATCGAAGAAACATCCAAAATGTTTCTCTTAATCTCATAGAATGTATTCCCATTAAAGACGTAATTAACTCGATTAATTTTATTAAAAGAATCTCATAATGAAAATAACAAACACGCAATTCGTTCATTTAAATCCAATGTTACGTAGTATTATGAAATATATTCTAACGTCGAGCCAACAAATTCAATTGCTTTACATATGATAGCATATATTAAAATTTTTAAAATCAAATGTCACAAATATTGAAATCAAATTGACACGTGTCTAACGTGTTATTTTCAATGATTCGAGATGTTTTTCAAAAGGGAACATTTTTTTCTCACATTTTATCACTCAATCATACGCATATAGCGAATGTTTCATGAAATTTTATTTTTCTAAAAAAGATTCTCAGAAGCTATCGAATTGTCGAAGAATCGCAAGAGCTTTCAGAATTTCGAAGATTCACCGTAGAAATCTAATTAGGTTGGCGATCGAGAGCGAAAAAGAGAGAGAGAAAGAGAGAGAGAGAGAGAGAGAGAGAGAGAGAGAGAGAGAGAGAGAGAGAAGAGAGAGAGAGAGAGAGAGACAATCGATGAAATAGAAAAAGAAAAAAAAAAAAAGAAAGAAAGAAAGAAAGAAGATGAGAGTAAACACAGTTGAAATATAATAATCTTAAAGCATAAGGACGACGAGTTATATTTAGAAGTAAAGGAAATGGAATGAATGCAGAAAGATCAAAGAGGTTAGTCTTCGTGAAAGCAACAAAATCAGAATAAATAGCGAAGGGAAAAGAAAATGGAATGAGTTATTTATGGTTGAAGCTAGGCAACTGCAAATTATCGTTGTCGATAGAAGAAAAAGAATGAAGAGGAAAGGTTGGCAACTTTTTCAATAATAATTTGTCGTGCTCTTTCTACTTTCTTTTTTCCCCTCGTCCAATAGAGTAGGATAGAATCACGAGGATGAAAGAATTCTCTCTTCCCCTTTTCTGTCCTTCCTTCAAGAGAGCGTCGCTTCAAGCTGACACGCTACGAATTTGCGCTGAGGGACGCGCAGTAAGGAACGAACATTACGTGGCGAAAAACTTCGATCGAGACTTTGATCGAAAGTACACTCGATCTTTTTCCCCAAAGTAAGCATTTTTTTTTTTTACGAACCCTAGGACCGAATATCCTTTTCCCGAGAGCACTAATACTTTTCATATGATATATATATATATATATATATAAGGAGATTATTTTCATCACACGTTTTTATCCATCGAACAAAATACTTCCATCGTCCCGATAATTATCAAAGTTGATGAAGTAAAAAAAAAAAAAAAAAAAAGAAAAAAAAAGAAAAAAAAAAAGAAATAAAAAAAGAAGAAGAAAAAAGGGGAGAAATAAAATTAGCAAAAAAATTTCATTTATCAATCACTTATGTGTCACACGTCGATCAATACGTATGGTTTATAATACCCTTAATAATATATCTGAAATTAAATTTCTTCCAACTCACTCAACTATAATAACATATAAAAAAGAAAATATATATTTTTTTTGGGGGGGAGTAGAGGGAGGGAAGATAAATAAGGTAATATAACTTTAGCGCATAAAAAAACAAAAAAAATTTCATACAACCATATCTTCCACATGACTTTTCATATCGCTGAAATTATCTTTAAAATATTTCCCACTTATTCTTGGACACATTGTATATGCATATAAGCCATTTTCATAATCATCCGTTTAATTGGTGAAAACAAAGTAGACCATTATAAAATTAATCAATGATGAAATATGAAAGAGACCAGACCAACCTAATCGACAAGATAATTCGGGTAAAACACGAAAGACGTACGTATTTCCATCGCAAGATACATCCTTCAAGGCCTAACGTCATATATTATATTACATTATACCGAGGAAGACAAGAAATTAACTTAATCTACGTCAGGTTCGATCGTAATATCACATTGTCTCCGTGAAATTTAGTATCCCCATGTAGAATATCCTAAGTCATCCTTTCTTCGAACTACTGAGAATCTCGTCATTTCCTCTCCATCTCTCTCTCTCTCTCTCTCTTTCTCTCTCTCTCTCTCTCTCTCTCTCTCTTTCTCCTTCCCTATCTCTTCTCTGTAATAGCTAATAAGCATTTACGCGTTGCGGATATGGTCAATTAACAGAGAAAAGCTCGGTGTATTAACGCGAATCGCTAGTGCGTCATCTAATTATTCGATTTTGAAAATGCCGAGGACGGTTTCTCCAATTAGCAAATGGACTTTCTCGAGCAAATAGAATCTACAAAGTGGCAATCCTTCCATACTAATAGCATACTCGCTTCTCCCCTTCCGCCGCCCTCCACCTTCTCTCCTCTCTCTCTCTCTCTCTCTCTCTCTCTCTCTCTCTCTCTCTCTCTCTTTCTCTCACTCTTGTTCTCTCTATTTCTATGGATCGCGTGTTCAAGCGAGCCAGCGAGCATCGTAAATGTGCAAGAGATCGAACGTTACGCGTATAATTTCGTGCTAGTCAGATAAAGGGAGCGCACGCATCTGAAAATGAAGGTACACTAATGTTATGTATGTAAGTAACTACGTACGTACGTATGTATATATGTATATATATGTGTGTGTGTGTATATATATGTGTATGTGTATGTATGCACATACTCAAACGTTTGGTACGTTGCACGAAAATTTGTTTACGTGGCATGTGCAGTAAACAAACGTGCGATGTTTGCTTTGTTTCGCATTGCCGTTGGTGCCTGCATAATCTCGGACTCCTTTAAAAGATAGAAAGCATCTCCTTAAAATTCTTGGAATAATAGGTTAAAGGAAGGGACGTCCGGATTTAAAATCATTGGATGACTAGCAACGTTGTTTACGCTTGATGAAAGATAAGACTTTACCAAAGTTAAGTTAGATAGGAGTAAAGCCCGCTTAGAAAGGAGTTTAGGAAACTCCAAGAGTCAAGAGCTAAACAATGCCATTGAAATATTTCAAGCATCCGATTATAAAGCAAGGTAAAATAGATTCGTCTTGGTCATTTTCCAATAACACTAAGAGGATAGGATAATTAAATTGATAAAAAAAAAAAAAAAAAAACATCAAAAAAATTAATAAATAAATAAATTAAAAAAAAAAAAACCAAGAAAAAAAAACAAAAAAAAATATCGATAAGATATCTTTTAAATTTATATCGACATCACTCGAATTTCTCTTCGAGCGTATCTCAAAACGTTCCGTCGTTTTTCTTTTCTATTCATCTTTATCTCTTTCTTTCTCTCTCTCTCTCTCTCTCTCTCTCTCTCTCTCTCTCTCTCATTTTATTTTTCTCTTCTTTTTATCTATCTGTCTGTCTGTCTCTCTCTTTCTCTCTATCTTTTCCTCTCGTATAATTCGGCACTCTACAGTCAAATACACGGTCAACTATAAAGCACTCCACGGTCCAAGAACCATCTCTTAATTTTATGGAGCTTAATCAGCGAACTTTCAAAACAAGGAAAAAAGTAGAAAAAAATTGATAAAGAGAGAGGGAGAGAGAAAGAGAGAGAGAGAGAGAAACAGAGAGGAAGGAAAAAAGAGAAAAAAAAGAAAATTACGAATGTGCGCACGTATACCTACACACATATATATATATATATATATATATTTGTGCGATGTACTTTTTTCGTTTAGCAAACGTCGCCGCAAACATGTACGATATTATTACAACCAACATAGGTCCACGGATTCTAGTCATGTGCCATGGATTAATTAGCGGCATATCCGAGACGAGATGAAAAATTATCCTGCATTCATTTTTCCATTCCTCCGACTCCGACGAATTTTCTATTTCTATATTTGTTTACATTATTTTTCCCCTCTTCCAGGATCATTTCCCATATACCGTATTTTTTGAATTTCTTCAAACGCTCTTTGTTTATTTCTCATTTTAAATCTCTTCTTTTCTTTTTTTTCCTTTTTTCTTTTTTTTTTTTTTTTTAACATTCGATCAATTTTAACGAGAAAACGTCAGGGTATAAGTAATATACGAGAGTAATTAGTACGCTTCGAGCATTACCACGGGTGGGGTAGACTTTAAGGATCTACGAACGTCAATGTTTCTCTTCGAGGAGGAATGAAAAGGACGAGGGAGAGATTGACTCGATTAAATACGTGCGTGTGCTCGTTGATATGAGTTAATGCTTGACGAGTAGAGAAAAGATTCGAGACTGGATCAAGCTATGATTGATAGGCAGGACGATGGGTATTAAAGCTCGTACTCAAAGATAACGAAGCGATGGATATATATAATCTTTTGTACAGTAGGAACACAGGTTTACATAATACCTTAATCAATGTGTAATAGTAGTAATAGTAGTAGTGGTGTAATATTAGTAGTAGCAGTAGTAGTAATAGTAGTAATAGTAGTAGTAGTAGTAGTAGTAGTAGTAGTAGTAGTGTGGTAGTAATGGTAGTAATAATAAGAACGTACACGTATTTACATTTTGAATTTCAGGGTCAAATTAATATCTATTTTGTCATTAATTTAACTATTAAAATAATAGTTTCTTCAAACTCTTTTTGCACTTAAATCATGCATTGCCTTTTAATTCTATTTATGATATTTTAAAAATCAATTTAATGATACTT